CGGCACTGGGGACACTCCTCCTCCTTTGGACATCATTGGCAGAATGCGCATGCGTGGCAAGAGCCACGCACGCATTCAGTCAGTCCATAGGAAAGCATTCTGAATGCTTTCCTATGGACGCTGGCGTCTTCTCACTGTGAAAATCAGTAGTCCTTTAATAAAAGGGAGGTTAAATCCACCTGATGCCCCTACTCGCGGCATGTTGCCTAAACAAATTTAAAACTACTAGTGACTGGGCAGCTATTGTTGCCCAGTCACTAGTGCAATAAGGGGAATCATGGCACAGGTTAAATCCTCCCCCATGCCCCTACCTGTGCCAGGTCCCTCCGTGTAGTAGTTTTTATCAAAAACAGGATATAAAAATCAGTATCTTATATAGAAGTGATAGACACTACATCCGCTCATGGGTGGGGACCAGGGGGGGCATTTGGTTCCCCCGTTTATCCCGTTTATATTAATAGCCCTCACCCATGGGTCTATGTCCCCCATTTTAGTTATATTCTGTTCCCCACCATGGGGGAATGGGGACACCTGGCATAGCCACTAGTACTTATTTGTTTAGGCAACATACTCCTACTCACGGCATGCTGCAAGTAGGGGCATGCGGGAGGATTTAACATCCCTTTTATCAGGGTCATAGTGACACCGATAGGTTTTAATGGGGGTAGGAATTAATATTATTACAAGGAGGGAGCTGGTAGCGCTGCTGGCTCCCTCCTTGTTTTTTTTTGGGGGGGGGGGGAAGTTGCGCATGCGCAGTGTTATTTTCTCCGTGCTGTGGGGCTTATTTCCCTGCAGCATGGAGTATACAGGGAGTGCAGAATTATTAGGCAAGTTGTATTTTTGAGGATTAATTTTATTATTGAACAACAACCATGTTCTCAATGAACCCAAAAAACTCATTAATATCAAAGCTGAATATTTTTGGAAGTAGTTTTTAGTTTGTTTTTAGTTATAGCTATGTTAGGGGGATATCTGTGTGTGCAGGTGACTATTACTGTGCATAATTATTAGGCAACTTAACAAAAAACAAATATATACCCATTTCAATTATTTATTATTACCAGTGAAACCAATATAACATCTCAACATTCACAAATATACATTTCTGACATTCAAAAACAAAACAAAAACAAATCAGTGACCAATATAGCCACCTTTCTTTGCAAGGACACTCAAAAGCCTGCCATCCATGGATTCTGTCAGTGTTTTGATCTGTTCACCATCAACATTGCGTGCAGCAGCAACCACAGCCTCCCAGACACTGTTCAGAGAGGTGTACTGTTTTCCCTCCTTGTAAATCTCACATTTGATGATGGACCACAGGTTCTCAATGGGGTTCAGATCAGGTGAACAAGGAGGCCATGTCATTAGAATTTCTTCTTTTATACCCTTTCTTGCCAGCCACGCTGTGGAGTACTTGGACGCGTGTGATGGAGCATTGTCCTGCATGAAAATCATGTTTTTCTTGAAGGATGCAGACTTCTTCCTGTACCACTGCTTGAAGAAGGTGTCTTCCAGGAACTGGCAGTAGGACTGGGAGTTGAGCTTGACTCCATCCTCAACCCGAAAAGGCCCCACAAGCTCATCTTTGATGATACCAGCCCAAACCAGTACTCCACCTCCACCTTGCTGGCGTCTGAGTCGGACTGGAGCTCTCTGCCCTTTACCAATCCAGCCACGGGCCCATCCATCTGGCCCATCAAGACTCACTCTCATTTCATCAGTCCATAAAACCTTAGAAAAATCAGTCTTGAGATATTTCTTGGCCCAGTCTTGACGTTTCAGCTTGTGTGTCTTGTTCAGTGGTGGTCGTCTTTCAGCCTTTCTTACCTTGGCCATGTCTCTGAGTATTGCACACATTGTGCTTTTGGGCACTCCAGTGATGTTGCAGCTCTGAAATATGGCCAAACTGGTGGCAAGTGGCATCGTGGCAGCTGCACGCTTGACTTTTCTCAGTTCATGGGCAGTTATTTTGCGCCTTGGTTTTTCCACACGCTTCTTGCGACCCTGTTGACTATTTTGAATGAAACGCTTGATTGTTCGATGATCACGCTTCAGAAGCTTTGCAATTTTAAGAGTGCTGCATCCCTCTGCAAGATATCTCACTATTTTTGACTTTTCTGAGCCTGTCAAGTCCTTCTTTTGACCCATTTTGCCAAAGGAAAGGAAGTTGCCTAATAATTATGCACACCTGATATAGGGTGTTGATGTCATTAGACCACACCCCTTCTCATTACAGAGATGCACATCACCTAATATGCTTAATTGGTAGTAGGCTTTCGAGCCTATACAGCTTGGAGTAAGACAACATGCATAAAGAGGATGATGTGGTCAAAATACTTATTTGCCTAATAATTCTGCACTCCCTGTATTAACCCCTTAAGGACCAAACTTCTGGATTAAAAGGGAATCATGACATGTCACGTGTCCTTAAGGGGTTAAACGAACAAAACAAAATGAAAAGGTAATGCATTCGGCATTTGCCCTTTCATTTCGTTTATTTTTCATATGTAGGGCTTTCATTTATGTTTTAGTAAACAAATACAAAAAAAAAAAAAAATTTCGGATGAAATCTTATTCGTACGAAAACTAATGCACATGTCTCTTTATTACTTTTATAACAATGATTGACAGGATGCAAAGATGGAGGCGCCCAGTTTTAGGGTAGATTTAAAAACAGCAGTTTGGATTTCTACATTTAATGCTATTTTTCCACACGCTCCTTTTTTGTCTGGTGTGCCCATATCTGTGAATGTAGATGGATTGTGTGCTGTGTGAATGTAGAAATATTGAGTACAGTGTGTAAATGTAGAGGGACTGTGTACCGTGTGTGAATGTAAATGGACTATACACTGTGTGTGAATGTAGATGGACTGTGTACTGTCTGTGAATGTAGATGGATTGTGTACTGTGTATGAATGTAGATGGATTGTGTTCTATATATCTGCCAATTCTCACAAAACATTTGTCCTTTTTGACATAATAGGAGTACCTCTCCTCATATGCCCACTTCCTTGTATGTCACTTCATCCCCCATGCTAATAATGTATCTGTGCAATCCCCCTTGTCCCTCATGTGTGACTGCAATCTCTTATGTAGCTCTGAAATTTCATGTCACTTGTCCATCTTATCAACCCCACCCTTATGTATCTGCGGCCCACCACATCCCTTATTTATCTCTGCACTCTGCCATCTTCCCATCCACCTCACGTGTTTCTGCCATCCTACCCATGCCATCATACGTTTATGCCATTTATAATAAATGCCTATTTACAAAAGTGACAATTTCTGGTGAAATCTGCATTTTTTTGTAAAATGCAAAAAGGACACACTCTTCATGCACAGGGCTGATGCAACATAGGTGCTGATGGAGCTGCAGCTCCAGGCCCATTGCTAAAAAAAAAAAAAAAAAAGTTACTTTTTTTTTACTACTCTTTACATGTAGATGTAGGGAAACAAAACTTGTGTGAGCCGGCTGACAATGAAATTAGTTAAGGTAAAGCTCACTACATACGCCTTTCTCTGTCCCAGACTGTGTAACAGGAGCTTCTGCCTGCTAATAAGAAAGTTAGGAGAGGAGGGGACAGGTGAGTGCTAGGGGACAGTTTATGCCAAGCTCAGGGTGCTGTCTGCACAGTATGCCCATAGTTGGTCCTGCTGCATGATTGGCAGGCAGCCTGACGTGCATTCACGCCAGGCTGACCATCTAATTCTTCGTGTAGACACGCCCCCTTTTTGGGAATGTTTGCCCCTTTGGGCGATTCTGGTTACATGATTTGCGTTAGTGGACGACCCTTATACCCCGCCCACCGAAATCCTGCTTCATTGAAAGATGAAAGAGTGAGATTAGCATAGGATATGTGTTTTCTGATAGCTACCTCCTTTGAGTTTTCATCCAACACCACCTCCACCAGATACAAGACGATTGGGAGGTATAACTGTTTTCTGTCGATACAATTCTATAATTAGGCCCATAATAATTGCCAGCACCAGGCCCAATGGGATCTTAATCCATGTTGGCGGACTCTGGGGCAGGCCCTGGTGGCCCAGATCTTGAGCAGCCCTGGTAAAGTGTAAAGCATAATAAAAAAACAAATGCTCCACTGCTGTGGATTCTGTGAATATACTTTTTTAAGTCACTGCAAAGGGAAATTTAGCAATGTTTCAAACTCTACTTGGGTCATTGAGAAATCCTCAACAAAGTTGACAAAGATCCTGGCAGGGCTACTTGCTAGGAGTAGCAGCAGACCTTTAATACGTAGTGACAACACTGCAAACAAGCCCCTTTTTTTGGTACAGCATAGCTTTCATGGAGATGTAGTTTAACTGCCAGCTTTCTACTGTGGAAATCAATAGCTAAACTACAACTCCCACAAATCTAACAGGTTTATTCACTAATGTGAGAATTCAAGGTTTATTCAAAGTGGATTTTAAA